TGACGTACACGTGTCAGGGACACAGCTGTCGGATCTTATCCTGGCATGGCAAGAGTATTGCACTGGAGTACCCCCGCTCCCCCAACTATTAATATTAATTTTGTTTGAGAATGTTGTCTGTTTGGAAAAACTAAAAAGAGGGAGAAGAGATTAAAATATTTCATAAATTTGAATTTGGATTTGAAGTCCGGCAGGTGCAGCTGGAGCGCATTAGAGGGAGCCCGCTATGAGATTTTTAGGGATTCAAAAGTGTGGCCCCCACCCTCTTCTAACATCCATTCCTGTCTTTCGAACTGTGGTGAAAGTAAAACAGTACTTTGTCCCTTGTTCGGCGACCCCTCACCACAAAAAAAGGGACACTCTCTCCGCTTTCCTTCAAGCTGCGTCTTCGAGTTGGAGGCACATCATCTCAGTGATGTATTGTGTCCGTATCCCAATTCCCATGAATATGGTTACTCATTTTAAACCAAAAGAATTAACGCACTGTCCATTTTTTGTTTTTTTCCCCCAAACCAGTGTGGCTTGGCTTTCATATACGAAAATCTAGCCTTCTGTATTATACATTAAAATTTTCATAATATTAAATTAAGCTTGCATTCGATAAATAAATAAATAAATAATTTGACTGATGATAAATAAAACGTCAGTGGATGCGCCAACGAAGAAATTTGCGCAGGTGGTTTATTACAATACACAGAGGTGTAAAAAAAAATACTTAGAAAATGCACTTAAGCAGTTGCAATATTGATTCAAGAGCAGTAATCTAACTGTGGTTAAATTGAAATTAATTCCATCATGGCTAAAATAATAGTATAATTTAATTAAAATAAACAAAAATATTTACATATAACTTGAAAAAAACGTTCATCTATAAATATTTTATTGGATTTTTTTCTAAAATCAAGATGATGTCGTTTCAAGCACAAAAGGAAAAGAAAAATAAAATTGAACCCGGTCGACTCTCCGCAAAACTATTGAACGGACCGGACAACATTTATCAGTTTTTTTTTTTTTAGCAAATGACAAAATTTATCATTTGATTCACCAGTTTTCTGGTATGACCAACCACTTTGATTTAGGTTTTAATACCGGGGAAAAAAAATGCATTACAAAATGATGTATACAAAAGTAAGTTAGGCACGTAGCCAATGATTGACTTTTTTTTTTTGGTTAAGAATAAAAGATTATGGTTATCTATTTGTCGGATTTTTATTAAATAGTAATCATTCCAGGGAGCGCTCGAGAGAATAAAATAATAAATAATGATTGTTAATAGGAGAAATGATTTTTTTAATGAAAAATAGTAAAACACAATGATTTACGTATGGATTGATGGGTGATTTAGTTTTAACAAATATTCTGACGAGATTGATTTGCTTGGCATGTGCTCCCAGGGGTGAGGGGACGAGAGCAGCACATCCATCCAACGCAAGCCATTGGAGGGCTCCGTCACTGTCATCAAAAAGTCAATGGTGGAACCCACGGGAAAATGTCACTTGTAAAAAACAGCATAAGCAAGCACCTTCCGCTGCACCAGCATCATCATCCATCATGCACCATCTTATCAAGTCATTCTTTTGCCTAAAATCCTATTTTCATTGTTATTTATTTGTTATTATTATTATTATTATCCTAAACATCCACTGTGTTAACTGTTAACCAAGTCATATTTAGGAAGCTACGTTCTAACCCCACCGAGCTTGTTATGTCGTGAGGGGTCACGGCTAAATCCATCCATAATGGTAGTTCTTTTATTTTAGTGAACCCACACAGTTGTCTAAATGAAAAAAATAACAGTGATATTTTTGTTGAAACATTCCAAATGTCGATGTTGAAATACTATCATTTAATTAGTTCATGTATAACATGTACAACGTACGGGAGCTACGTCTAGTCTATTTCAGCAGCATGTTATGTCTATTCTGTTATAATTTTCCTGTATATTCTCTTATTTATAAGACTGACAGAGATTTTTTTTTAATTCTATTTATAACACATATTATTAATTTTTTATTATAATTTTTTTTATTTTTTAAAAAATAGGTTGTTAAGGCATGTATATTTATAGGGACAAAGTTAAAAATTTAATAAATTTTTAAACAGAATTAATAAATTTTAATATTTTCTTTAATTTTAATAAAATATATTGTAAATAAAATTAAATAGGATTAGAGAAGTTAGAGCCAGTAATTCAAATGTACCGACTTTTTTGAGTTGAACTTAAAATATCTTACAATACAGACAAAATTTATATATCTAAGTGCGACTTTAATCTCTCAAACTTTTAAACTTATTCGGGCTTGAATACTTACATTATTAAATATTATATTATTTTATTTTATATTATATCTAATTTCAAAATTTTCTTTTTTTTTTAAATAATATTTTCTATTTTTATTTTATTTTTTAATAATAAAAAAGGAATTCAAAGCATTCATGCTAAGTTCATTTAAGTTTAGGTTTGGCTCACGTTTTTTTGAACAGTCTGAATAAGTCTGAGATAATTTCTCTTTCAACTCTTAAGTCTGATTTTAAGTTTTTTTTTTTTTTGTTAAGTGTATACAAGTTGGCTTGTCAAAATTTCTGACTCTAAGATTTGTATTGCTGTTTTTGAATTAGTACAATGGAATGAAACCAACAGGGTAACAAGGCGCCACCATTATGACATGAGTTGATACAATATCTTCTTTAGCATCCATCACGACCCAAAAAAAAGGAAGAAAAAAAAAACACATGTGCCACATGCTCATGCTTTGTTCTCGTCATCGTCAATTTAAAAATATATTTTCTGATTTTATTTATAAATTATTTTTAATATAATTATTGAAATTAAAAATTTTTAAATTTTATTAATTTAGTCTTAAATTTTAAAAAGTTTCCATCTCCATCCTTAATAAAGACAAAAAATTATGTTTAATATTTTTTAAAAAATGAATATAAAAATAATAAAATATTTTATAAATAAAATCAAAATAATTTTTTTTCCTATCCAGCACGGAGCCAGAGGAGGAAAACCACAGTAGTTACTAATTAGAATAGAAAAGCACGAGAGTACATTCTCAGACTGCCACACAGTCTGGGTTATGTCCATGCCTATGGCCTCCTCCAAAGTTCTGATCCACGCGGGAACCATATATAGAGTCCAGAGTCTTCTACTTTTTCAATCCCCAACTTCATATTCATTAAATTAGCTTTCTGAAACTCAGCATGTCATTTTGGGGTTTCCTCAAAGAAAAAGCAGAAGAGTTTTTTTTTTTAAAAAAAAACCAGCAGGCCAGCAAGGCCCAGAACACCATACCCTAAAAAATAAGCGATGTCGGAAGACTGAAAAATTGCTACTCAAAAGAAATCTTTCCAGAGTACCTCGGAGAATTCTCTCATAATGAGTTGTCTTTTGGTTCATCCTAACCCTATCCTATCCTAATGTGTATAAAAGTGTGTCAAAATGGTAAGTATTTTGCAAGATGAGGCTTAAAAAAAGATGTTATTAATGTTTTTAACACGAGCAGAGGGAACTTGAAAAGAAAAAAAAAAAATCAGAAAAGAACCATTGCTCAGTGCCTTGGCTGGCAAAGAAATGAATTGCCAAATTTTCAAACATGATATGATGCTAATGCAGGCGAACCCTTCTTGGCCCACAACGGAAAAGGACCAATTCGGTCCACCTTCACTGATCGTAACCGATATTTACCCGGCCCACATCCTCGCCCAGTGCGCATTGTTGATGAGGTTTTAACTTAGTATCACCCTAATTCTTGTTCCCTCCTTTTTATTTTATTTTTGACAGATGCGGGAATTAATTTAAAAAAAAAAACTAGAGTAATGTGAAAGTTTTGGATTAATCAAGTCATTCAATATTATTTAAAATTAAAAACAACAATTTGTATCATATTATCACCTCTCACTTTCTTTATTGTATTAGATTGTTATTATTAATAATGGTCTTGTGAATACCTCAAGATGTTTTGACATATTTATTTAACATGATATATTCAATTATTCAAACTTAAAATCCCATGATTGTCTAGCGATAAATATTTTTTAAGTACTAGAGGCATTTTGATGAAAATGTCTTATTTTATTTTATATTTTATTACGTGTCACAATAAAGTTTAAATATTTTGAAGTGATTATTCAATAAAATGAGGACATTAATGGAGATATTATACATAGGATATTAATGGGATGGTTTAATTAGAGAAAAGTTAAAAGAGTTATTTGTGGTCTCAATGTACTTGATAAGCTTAAGTGAAAGAGATAATAATTTTATACAGTAGTAACATTGAGCTTTGATGGGACATCAAGAGCGTAAAATTAGAATAGTAGATATGAGAATGTTAATATGGATGTGTGGATATATATGTAAAGACAAAATTAGAAATGAGCGAATATGAAAAAAAATGGGTGTGGCATTTATTGAAGAAAAATTAGTAGAAAATTATATGAGGTGACTCGGATATGTATAAAGAAGACCATGAGAGGCACTTGTGAGAAGAGTAAAACAGATGATTTTGAGCCATTTTAAGAAGAGTAGAGGAAGATCGAAGAGAATATTTTTAAAGGTTGTTGAATGAGACCTTTTAACTAATAATATTCATAAAAACTTAATAAATGATAGAGTATAATAGTGTCATATAATTCATGTAGCCAATTTCATTTAGTGGGATAAGGCTTGTTGTTGTTGTTGTTTAATGTATCACAATAAATTTTTTATTATTGTTGGTTTTTGGCCAACAATAAATTTTTTATTTAAATGGCCTCCTTCCTTTTACTATTTAATATAAAATGAATTATTATTTAATTAATATACGCATTCTTAAATACTTTTTTATTTTTTTAAAAATTATATATCTACTTTAGTGTTTTGTGTAATGCAGATTTGTATTGATAATTTAATTTAAAATTGATTGAAGATTGGAAAAAGGGTTTTTGTTTTTCATCTTCCCTTAATTATTTTTATTTCTTATTTGCAATTTACCCCAGTTGCGGACTTGCGGCAAAAGAAGGCGGTTAGTCGGTACCGGGTTATTTTCATCAAGCTCGGTGTTTCTGGTCTGGATCACATTCTCTGTGGAATTCTTGTGTGCATTCCCTTCTCAGCGCGAAGTTCCGATCATGGGACACGGGCACGGTAACGCCGACCAACCTCAGCTCTCTCTATTCGCCTCAAGATCTTTCGTATGATATCCCAGAACATTAACTTTTGCTGTTCTTTTATATTTCCAGGCGAAAAAGGCCGACCCTTAAAAAAGTTCAAGGCCGCCGCTAAATTGGTTTGTCATTTCACCCTTTTGCAAGAGAAAACTTCATCATATTGTTATGTTTTCTTACTTTGTCGACCAATTGACGTCCTGTGCAGGACGATCCCCGAAAAGGATTCGTCGACGACGACGATGTATATATGGGCGATGATGGTTATGACGACGACGGTAGTTTACTATCAATGACTGATATTTCTGTTACAGATCATTGTTATTACTGTTTCTTATTTTTTAGAAGTCACTTGTTTGCGATGAACTTGAATGGTTTGCAGGTGAGAAAGACAAGACTAAAGATTTTAGCAAGTTAGAGCTTAAAAAAGATCACGTGAATCGGCCCCTTTGGGCTTGCGGCAACGGTCGGATATTCCTCGAGACCTTCTCTCCCTTGTACAAACAAGCTTATGATTTCCTTATTGCCATAGCGGAACCCGTTTGTAGGTATTGTTATATTGTAAAATAAAATAGCTAAAATTTCTCTTCGATACTGGTGCACGCATTATCACCTACATGTAGTTCTTGCCAGGGGAGTTCAAGTCATAGGATAACTAAATTGTTTAACATGCAACGAATAGGCCGGAGTCAATGCACGAGTACAACCTCACTCCACATTCACTGTATGCTGCGGTCTCAGTTGGTCTGGAGACAGAAACGATCATATCAGTTTTGAACAAGTTATCCAAGACGATGCTTCCTAAAGAGATGATAAAGTTCATTCAGGATTCAACCGCAAATTATGGCAAAGTAAAGCTTGTACTTAAGAAAAATCGATACTTCATTGAATCACCATTTCCAGAGGTAAATGGAATGATATGACTTTCTCAGTCTTGTTTTGTTCTAACCGGTTATGATGAATCCTTTAGTAACTAGCGTCACCTGCTACATGTCATATCAATGTTGCTAGGTGTTGAAGACACTGCTTAGAGATGAAGTTATATCTCGATCAAGGATCGCTTCTGAGGTTTGCTTTACATTCTTTTATTCACAGTACTCTTTTAAACGCTTTAGGATGGTTTATGTTATTCCTCGTTAGCTGTTTCTTTCTCCTTTTCCTTCCTCTTTCTTTTGTTTGTCCAGACTAGTGTAATGGCATGAAAAAGCAAAAAAAAAAAAAAAAAAAAGAAAAGAAAAGTACAAAAGAAAGAAGCATGGCCACTTGAAAAGTAAATTCTTTTTTCTCACATTTGTTGCCACACCGTAATGATGTTTAGAGAACCACATGTGTTACTTCAATTAGTGTTTGCACGTGAGGGGATGGTTGAGGGGCATGCTTGGGGTAATTTCCCTTACTGCCGCCTAGTTTCTATTATTTAGTGAAGGTGCATATGGCATGATTCAAATGGTCTTCTAGAAATTAAATGCGGTTTTTTGTGCTTCTTTAGATGCGTCTTTGCAAAAAATTGGCATTTTCTAGCATTTACTGTGTATTTGTGGAATTTGAAATTGATGTCGGGTGCAAATTTTCTATTGCTCACCTCTCCATTTCCTTGTGTTTTGTGGAAATCTATAATTGATGTAGGGTGCAACTGGTGATGGATTTACGATTAGCAAAACAGCAGGTGAAATTGAAGGAACTCATGATGAGTTGCTGAATGAAGCAGAAGTAGCCGCAGCTGCAGAAGAGAAAGAAACTCATTCATTTGAAATCGATCCTTCTCAGGTAATGTAGGTGTTAGCTTTAAAAAACTTTGCATTGTTTAGGCTTGGAGTGCATTCAACAACTTCTCCCACCCCTCCCCCTCATTTTTCATCACATGGCTAAGTCACTGATAAGTGATAATATTTAGTATAATTTTATTAGGCAATGTTTTTGCTTCTCTATGCTGTAGCTCTTATAATGTCCTGTTCCTGTAGACACTGTTAATTGCCATAATGATGACTATAAATGATTGACCAATGAGTTGCTGAACCTAAATTTGGCAACTTGGAACTTATTAAGCAAATTCAGCAATGATTTATGGAAATTGTTGTGAGAGCTGCCACAAATATTTAACTTGGTCACTGTAAGAAATCAGAATAGGATCATTATCATTGATTGACAGTAAGAAGTCTCATCTTCCCCCCCCCCCTTCTCTCTTTTTTTAAAAATTTATTTACAGGTTGAAAATGTAAAGCAACGATGCTTGCCAAATGCATTGAATTATCCCATGTTGGAGGAGTATGACTTTAGAAATGATACAGTAAGTAATGCTTTATGTACTTATGCTGCTGAATATCAAGTGCTTGTAACCACTAGGTTTTCTGCTAAAATTTCTGCAAATGGTAATGGAGTTCAGAATGTTAGTCTGCTAATTTCAGTTGTTACTCTCTTATGTTGCAGGTCAACCCTGATCTGGATATGGAGCTAAAGCCTCAAGCACAACCACGGCCATATCAAGAGAAGAGCCTGAGTAAAATGTTTGGAAATGGTAAGGCTGATAGCTGTTTACTTGGACAGGGACACACTTGCTAGAAGTACACTCAAGTTAAATTTAGAGCATCAATTGACCATCGTTTTGCTGGATCTCTAGTTCTTCTTCTTCTTCTTCTTCTTTTTTTGGGGTTGAGATCCAAAATACATTTTTTGCAGTTGTGCATCTTTTCATGGCTGTATCTTTGCCCCATCTTTTGAGCTGTGAGGAGCAATAAAAAAGTTGAAGTTTTGGTAAAAGAAAGCAAGCGTACTTTTGACATCTAGTTGAAGTCTGTGCCTGGGATTTGTGATCTTTTACAATAAGTTGTGCTTCGAACTTTCCTTTTTTGTGATTTAACTATAATTTTTCAAATTGCTTGTACAGAGCTTAATTATTTTCTCTTGTTGCTAAACCTTAATCTTTCCTCTATTGCTTTAACAATATTTTTTGATGCTTGAATTCATAATGAATTATAACTTGTTAAAATCACAGGAAGAGCAAGATCTGGTATCATAGTTCTACCTTGTGGTGCGGGTAAGTCTCTTGTTGGTGTTTCTGCAGCCTGCCGTATAAAAAAGAGCTGTCTTTGTTTGGCAACAAATGCCGTATCTGTGGACCAGTGGGCGTTTCAGTTTAAGCTATGGTCGACCATCCGAGATGAAAATATCTGTCGTTTCACATCTGATAGCAAGGAGAGGTTCCGTGGTAATGCTGGAGTGGTTGTGACCACATATAATATGGTTGCTTTTGGTGGCAAACGGTCAGAAGAATCTGAGAAGATCATTGAAGAAATTAGAAACAGAGAATGGGGATTGCTTCTCATGGATGAGGTAAACAAGCTGCTTCATGGTTATAACCTTCTTAACTGTAATCTCAAGGTTGATCCTCATGTATATAGTGATGGCATTATAAACAGGTGCATGTGGTCCCTGCACACATGTTTCGGAAGGTCATTAGCCTCACTAAATCCCACTGCAAACTTGGGCTCACAGGTAGGCCAGACAGCATTGGCTTAGCATCGCACTGGCAATGATCCTAGCCTTCTCTACTTGAAACTGAGGTCTTGATTGTTAATAATGCAGCCACACTTGTGAGAGAGGATGAAAGAATTACAGATCTGAATTTTCTCATTGGTCCCAAGTTGTATGAAGCAAATTGGTTGGATCTCGTGAAAGGTGGGTTTATTGCAAATGTACAGTGTGCTGAAGTATGGTGTCCAATGACAAAAGAATTTTTTGCGGAGTATTTGAAGAAGGAGAATTCCAAGAAGAGGCAGGTCAGACCTCTTGGAAATCTGTGAATTGTAACAGTAGAAAATTGTTGTGTTTTTACTCATTTTACGAGCAGCTTGCTTTTGCCCCCAGACAGCGTCTAAACATTATTGTTGTATTTCTTTATATCTTGTTCCTTTTTAGCTTTCTGTTGCATCTGTTCTGCTTCCATGTTGAATTATCTGTTTTTAATTTAATTCTATTTGTCGACTGGGTAATATTTGTTCAAAACCTGTAATTGCACATATCATTTACATGTTTTAATTCTATTAGCTTTCTGAATTGATGATCTCTTACATGTCCCAGGCGCTCTATGTGATGAATCCAAATAAGTTCAGAGCATGCGAGTTTCTCATAAAGTACCATGAAACACAGCGTGGTGATAAAATTATAGTCTTTGCTGATAATCTTTTTGCTCTAACTGAGTATGCCATGAAACTTCGCAAACCAATGATATATGGTGCTACAAGGTGCTGTGGACATTTGGATCTGAAGCATGTTTTGGAATTTGATGTTTCGCATCTTAATGTTCTGTTATATCATGTGCAGCCATGTTGAGAGGACAAAAATTCTACAAGCATTCAAAACTAGCAAAGATGTCAATACTATATTCCTTTCCAAGGTACCTGTTCCTGTTTATCTTGTTCTGTATTGAGCTTTAGGCACTTCATTTTATGTAGATATGCAGTCTACATACTGATAGAACAATTCATTGATGAATCTGAAAGCTTAAATGTGTATAGTTTTTATTTTTATGGGTTAGTAAAGGCATTAGTGATTTGCAAAGCATGTTTTTTGTACCTGTTTACCAATTTAGTCAAAGGTGAAAGAAGTCCTCATGGCACCAGACCTATAAAACGCTTTAAGTGAGAGGTGCTAGAAAGGCATTTGCCAAGGGAATCAAGACTTTACAATTAGGGGGGAAATGATCTACAGAGAAATGTAATTCGAAATGAACTTTACATATAAATTCTAAAAATAGATGTTGAACTTTTTGAATTTTTTTTTTGTTTGAAAACTTTCCTATCTTATATTGTGTTTTACTGTTTGAAATGTAAAACTTTCATTTTAATCATCCACCTTCAACATCAACCTTTAGCATCACCCAGCACCAAGGTCGCTCATTTTTTACCCTGCCAAAGTTGCCAAAAAGTGAGCTCATTTTGACATCTGACTGAAGCCAGCTCCTCTCACAGCATGAGAGGCACTGAGGCAGTTTGGCTGTTGGCGCTAACATTGGGCACCTTTAATAACATCGCTGTTTGACTTGGTGCTTGATGTCACTATCATTTCATGCGATAATTGTCCTTTTCCTCCTACTGAACAGAGTAAAAGCTGATGACTATTTATCCTCCCTTTAATATTCTCAGGTGGGTGATAACTCAATAGACATTCCAGAAGCAAATGTGATAATTCAGATCTCTTCACATGCTGGTTCAAGGCGTCAAGAAGCCCAACGTCTAGGCCGTATTCTTAGGGCAAAGGCTAGTTTCTGATCTTTTCATGTATCCATAGTTGTTCTCTTCGTACTAGTAGTTTCTAGGTTTTGGTGAATTTCATTCAATCTGCTTTGGAAGTATAATTTTGCATTGTTGTGCATGCACTACCCTTACAGTTTGAATCAGGAGCTTTCAATAGACGGGAGGAAGTTCTGTTCTGCAAATAATTTATCATCTCTGTCGTTGGCTGACTTATTTTAATTAATCATGTAAATGGCAGGGTAAGCTTCAGGATAGGATGGCAGGTGGCAAGGAGGAGTATAATGCATTCTTTTATTCTCTCGTGTCGACAGATACCCAGGTATGTTTATACTGTCAAATCAACAAATCATGTCATCATTGGTGAAGTGTACATTTTTACACTGCTTTTGTTTGCAGGAGATGTACTACTCAACCAAGAGGCAGCAATTTTTAATTGATCAGGGTTATAGCTTTAAGGTATAATCTTCTCATTCAATACTCTCTAGGAAACCTAGTTGAATTTGCCTCAGCGGTGTCTCTGAGTTGGTTAGTGTGTTAATTCAGATCGACGATGTTTGTCACATCTAAAACCGTTGAGAACTGACTTGAGGAATTTAAAACGAGGTCAACCTTCCTTTGACAAATGTCATTCTATATTTTGGAGCAATAACATCTACTGGTGTTCCCTTTCCCTGATGCTTGCATGCTCAAATGCCTCCTTGAAATAATGTTAAGTGGTAAAATGCTGAAGCAGGGCGAATAAAGCCATGCTTTCTTGTATTGTACGTGATATTACTATGGTCAGGTGGGTGGTTGTTCAAATAAATCACTCTTACGACACTGCCTTCACCTGCTTGCATGAACATGTTAAGTTCATGAGTTGAACGTAACTGTTGCAGCAGTATGCCTTTGGCCAAGCTTGATCGACTGTAATTATTAATTTCTAACATCTTTTCAAGATCAGGACCTTTCTATATGCATAACGTTTGACTGTACTCGAGTTGACAGGTAATTACAAGCTTGCCTCCAGCTGGAGAAGAAGCTTCATTGAATTATTATCATCTTGAGGATCAATTGGCCCTCCTTGGAAAGGTTTCCTTTCTTGTGCCCCTTTTTACTTTTAGGGCTGAATTGAGCTGTTGATTTCCTTTCTTGTGCCCCTTTTTACTTTTAGAGCTGAATTGAGCTGTTGATTAAGGGACACTGAATTGCATCCATCAGGTCTTGAGTGCTGGTGACGATGCTGTTGGTCTAGAGCAACTAGAAGAAGATGCAGATGAAATAGCTCTCAACAATGCCCGGCGTTCGACAGGATCCATGAGTGCCATGTCAGGTGCAAAGGGAATGGTTTACATGGAGTACAGGTGTGTTATTTGCCTGATGTGATGAAGTGTGCCTTGTGTGCATTCTCGATTTATTGTATTTCCCTGCATGAGTGTGGATACTATTGAAGAAGCTTTGAGTTAGTGTATTGAAATTGACGATTACCTCCTTACCCACACAGTACTGGGCGTAACAAAGGTCAAGCGCAGATCAAGAGCAAGCCAAAAGATCCATCTAAGCGACACATTTTATTTAAAAGACGCTATGGCGCACATTAGGTGTACTCACCAGAGCTGGGCACTGTTTATCCAACTAAATCAGTTGCTGTCTATGAGACATAAGGTCTATGGCCCGCAGATTGTAGAGACATTTTGCTTTATGTAAAATCAGAAAATCAGTTTTCCTTCTGAGATTCATGCTAGTCAGCTTCAACTGCTTGCAGCTCCTCATAGCATACTGTGTTACAGCGCGAAGGGAAAACTGTCAACCACACTTGCGAAGCTCTTTGCGGAGAGTCGATCTCGGATGATAATATTCCAAGCACAACTATTGTCTACAGAGCTTATAGGTAGTATTCATGAACATTTGTAAGGCTCAAGTTTTCATGAGCATAAGGAGAGTAAAGGTGCTTTGGATGCCCTAAATGACTACTTGAAAATAATAGAAACGACGGGTCTTTTAACTTCGTAGAAGATATAGGAAGACTCATAATGTGCAATTGAGAGTTTTACTTATGGGCATGTTTCTAGTTGTGCTATTTGTTAATTGCTCGTTATATTCAATGTATAAAAAATTCTATACTTGTCAGAGCCTCTTTAAGATTATCACATTTTACTTTGTCATGATTTATATCACGGACACAATCTCCCGGACTCTTAGAGTATTTTTTTGTTAGTACTATCTCATTGAATTAATTAAAAAAAAAAGTAGTTAAATTCAGATGCCTTTATCTTCGGCAAAACTTACCTTATATCTCTTAAAGATTTGAAGAGCTTGTACTTGTTCTTTTCCCAATTTCATAATACATGTTAACGGTCCGTGCGTCTTTCTAGCACAATATTATTTTGTCTAATTTTCCACCAGCCCTTCGTTTGTATGTTCAAGAGAAATGGCTTAATCATCTTCCGTGGTAAGTAAAATCGTACTCAATTTATATTCGATAGTAAATATCACCTTTGACTATTGGTGAAGGTTATATATATTTTTTAATACAAGGTCATGACATAAAGTCATGTGAAAAAAAAAACTTTAACTTATGGTGAACATTATATTTTTTTAATACAAGGTTATGACATAAGTCATGTGAAAAAAAAAAACAAATAAATTAGATCATGTTAAAACTCAAAAAGGTCTTGCATCGAAAAGGTGGATTATGTAGAATTATTGTATCGAACATTTCATGATCAACATGACAAATGATTCAATTAACACAATCATTCAACAATATGAGAATGTAAGTCATGATAAGCAGTAAATAGATGCGAGTAATTTGAAGGGTAGCTATTACTTTATTTAAAAGTGAGAATTAATTCATACTATTTGGAAGACACCTTTAGAAAAGCTAACATTGGCCTTGACTAACTCATAATATGCTAATGTAGGATTTAAAATTATGATAAGACCTTTATAGAGTATAGAAATTCTTGAGTCTTGACTTGTACAAGGGCATACTGTTGCTAAGGCCAAAACTTACGATTTTCTTATTCCTTTTGCCTCTCCTTTTTTTTTTTTAGAATGTTAAAGTAAGTGAATTGTTAGGAGACTGAAATAATAAATAATTAGACATTAGACACTAAATGACAAGTAGCTGTGATGGTATTTGCAATATAGCATGTTAACTGTGGTGTGTTTCATTTTCTCCATTGGCTTCATAGTGAGCATGAATTTTTAAAAAAGATGTGGTGCACAAGCAGAAACACATTAGTCCTGTCACTATCAGAAATTTGTGAGTGAGCCCGAAAGCAACTTTTTGAAAGGAAACAAGTTGATTGATTTATTTTACTTCAACTGCGTTGAAAGCTTTTTGTTATCATTGTTGAATTTAAAAACAAAATTAACGGGGGAGAGAGCACTGAAAATACTGCTTTCCTGAAAAGAGATCAAACGTCTTTTATAGTTTATAATAAAACAGAATCTTCTGATACTAGTTTAAAGCTAAAATGAGACGCAGGAATGGAACAACAGAAATTACTTAAAAGAGAGTAGGTGAGAATTTTCACTAGAGACGAACAAGACCTACAGAAATCTAAAGATTTGACCACTCATGAGACATTCTCTCTGCCTTTTGCTATAGGTCACTGCAAATTCCACCTTAATGCAAAATTACATACTCAACAACACAACCACTCATTACATTTACAACTTCCTCTAAGACACCAGTACATAGCAGTGGAAAAATAGGCTCTTAGGTTCAATGAAACCGACCAATTTTCTAACCTCAACCTTTAACTGATTTTGTTATCATTCATGCCATTTGAAGTCCAAGTGACAGGACTGTCCAATCATGCAAAGGGAATAGCTCAAAGTTTGAGAGAACCCTTTAGCCTAATAACCAGAAAGTGCATTCATGTGGACGAAGCAAAGCTAAAAACTTCTTCTGGTCACATGTCAGTAACCATTTCAAGTTGCAGTTTTGTTGGTTCATTCATGAGAAAATTGAACAGTTGTAACCAAAGTTTTGGTGTATTTATAGTAGCACCAATTCAATCCTTCAGTGAAAAGTGAAAACAAAGAAACAGCAAAAGTGAATCAGAGTGAGTCATGAGGTAGCATTTGCTGAAAGCAGTTTCCATTAACAACATGCTCAACAAGATGCTGCTTGCCACAATTATCAAGTTGTAATCTATTTGCCCTTTCTACCATTTTTCCATAACTTGGATTTTTACTGTTGAATCACCATTACTGGATTCTCCAGCCACCCAAGTTTTCACCGTTCCCAGTCTTAACCCAGACAAAAGTTCCATCCTCAACATGACCTCCTTTCTTGTCTCCCCATTGACAAATATTTTATGATACTTGGCCTCTCCACTAGACGATCCCACCACGCCATTCGTGTGCAAAACATGAAAAAGCAAGATTTTTCTGTGTTTGATTATTGTTCATCGAAATATTGTTCTGTTTGATGTACCAATCAGGAGGCTCTTCTTGGACAGAACAAAAGGACAGGTCCAGTGGACAACTTAGCCTTCTCAAGCAATTATTTTCTGGCTTAATTAAGATATCATTATCACTGTGGAATATATATATATATATATAAATATAATTAAGCCTAGCCTAGCCTGAGGGAACACTTGAGTAATCTGTAGCATCGCAATGATAGGGTGTTGAAGTAGTTTTAAAATATGAATTTTTGCGATGTTGTGTTGGTCAAAAGTGGGTGTCTGGCATCATTTTAGATGCTCACATTAAATTTTTATAAGCATTCTTTTCTTTACTGCTTTGTCCATTACTTGCATTGTCTCCTTCTTTCTTCTATCACTTCCTTATCATAACAGGAAATTACTTGATTCCTGATTAACTGTGATATTTAGATCAAAAAGAGAATGTGGGGAACTGGAGATGGAGGAGATTCGGTCTTTGCGTCTCTTTTTCATGCTGCCTCATTCAAAAACTACCATTATTATGTTCTCATTATTTCTATTTTGTTTTTCCTGAGTTTTCAATATTATTTCCTTTATTCAATAATCAATTACTATCTTCTAGGCTATATACGTTTCAGGTTCTTATCTGGGGTTCCATGACTCAGAAGTCTTCATCTTTTCCTTTAAAGTAGGCGATCCTATTATCAAAATTGTACAGGGAAAGATGCTAAGCTTCAAGAACAAGAAGATATCATTCTATAAAAATTTTAAAAGAAGCCTTCAGTCAGCTTTACAATCAGCAGCATCTCTTTCAATTGGCAATATATATATATATATATGGGTAAATACAACACTTTGGTCCTATGCTTTGATTTTGTTTTGTTAGTTTTATTTCGTTGTTCTAAATCCTTTTAGTTTGATCTGTTTGCAACATTAGTTCTTGTAGTTTTAGAAATGAACATAACAACCATGAACTAGCATTGACGTAATTAATTTCATTGTAATTCTGCTAAGCCCTTGCTAATATGGTAAAGATATGTTGACAAGGAAATAAATTGACTCGGCATGATCAAGAATAAAAGGTAATGGGGCAAAAAACGTTTCTTTGTACATTTGTATGAAACAGAATGTGAGAGACAAATGCAATACTAAGTACACATCAAGAAAGAGGTAAACAAAATTAAGTATATATTAGCAAAATTAATTCCGTTATGTTAAATATATGTCAGTAAAATTAACTCCGTTAATGCCAACTCATGTTCTTTACGTGCATTTTTAAAATTACAAAAACTAACGTTATAGATAGATTACATTAAAGGAACAATAAAATAAAATATTAGAGACTACAAACAAAATACAATCAAAGTACAAGTACCTATTATTGATTTTTCCCTATATATGTATGTACATCTATGTATGCATATCGAAGAAGAGAATCAGTGAAGGCAGTACTGGAATCTGATTTTCAATTTTCAGCAAAAGTGGGAGCATTCAATATCTTCATGAATATATTTTTGCCATTCGGGGTGTTGCTGACAAAATGGGAGGTTGACACATGGTATCCTGCTTTATGCCATCATTTAATAATATGCCTCTAGCTTTAATCGCAGCATTTATGATCTTGTCATTTTTTAAACTCACAAGCCTGTTTGCGTCTTTATGCTGTCAAGACCATAAAGTCTGCATTTTATCCCATGCTTTTCTTGAAACTGTACTGAGGTTGGAAATCGCAGATAATCCAATTCCTTTTATGCGTTTTCTTTCTCTTCTCTTTGGCAGTTCCATTTACCACTGCTTTACTTTTTAACTCACTTTGAATGTTGTCTGATTAGGTTATTCGATTGCAGACCAAGAAGACAGGAAAAGTTGGGGGTTTAAAGGTGAAACTAATCATGATTAGTCCACTCCTTTTAATGATAATGCTGCTAAACAAAAAAACTTAAAACAATACTAGATAATACTCCAGAGATTTTAAATATATGACAATCATTTCCAGAGATTTTAAATAACAAGCAAAGGCAAATTTGTACTTGATTACTCCATCTAACAGTCTGTTTAACAAAAAATATAAAACGGCGTTGGTTAGACTCAAGGAGTGTAGGGTTAGAACATGATTAAGAGTTAATCAAGAATTAATGACTTGACATCACTAAAGCATGGAATCATAAGCTTGTTATTCAGGAGCATCAGCGTGTGGAATTTTATGAATTTTGACTCGTGACTGATTGGAGGATAAAAGTCCCACTTGAGAAAATTTACTTTGGAAGAATGATATTATATTTGTCACTAGAAACCATTCAAAGCAGAATGAATCCTTTCTTGCGTGCATTGACGCGCCCCCAATTTAGGCCTCTTTCGGTCTCAGAATGGAAAGCAGAAACAGTAAGAAATAAAGCCAACCAACTTCTCTCTCTCTCTCTCTGTTTTTTCTTTTTTTTTTTGGTTGGTTATGGCTTTGTATGATCAATTTGTGCAGATAAGCCATGAATTAATGATAGTGAAGCCAAGCCAAGTTGACAAGTTGACAGAGTTTAAAAGCTAAATGAAGAAGCTAGCAAAGAGCATATTCTCCCAGCAACTTGTTGCCAAATCCTTATTTGTCTCTCACATTTCTCGGGATTAACGATGCTGTTATTTTTGTACAGTCGCCGTTGCTAAGTGTTGTTAATAAGATAAATAACAATCAAGGATTATTAATCAAAATTTATATAAATTAAAAATTACTTATTATCAAATCTTGAATGGATATTTACTAATTCAGGTTAATCTTTTACAATAAAAATTTATTTAAATTTTAATAATAATTTATTTTAAATTAACAACGACTTATTTAGGTTTATTTTTCATTCAAATTTTGACAATAATTAATTTTTAAATGATTTAAATTTTGATCACTGGTTCTTGATTATTATTTTCCCTTGTTGTCAACTACTTTGGCCAGAACCACCATCAACCATGGCCAATTGCCACCATTATGCCACCATAATTAACCAATAATGACCGCTATCATGGATTGATTTTATTTTGTAATTTTAAAATTGTTTTAAGTAAATTTAAATTAACATAACCCATGAAATTTCTTGTCTAAATAGTTTTTAAAAATAAAACAATATCAGTTTTTTTATTTTTTTGGTTTTTATATTTTTTTTCTACCTAAGAGTTTAGGTACTACATTTGACTTGAATAAAAATGTAAATGTGACAAAAAAATGAAGGGTCTGTTTGTATAATTAATTAATTATAGAGACAATTAAGCCTATATGTATGAAGAAAATCAGGTGTTAAGGAGATAATTAAGCTTTCGGATAGAAAAAAGGAGACAATCAAGCTGTACAGTTGTTGTTGATTGATATTAATCAATCATATATAATCTTAAAATCAACTTAATTAAAACAATAACCACTGAAGCTGTTTTATTTTTTTTTTAAATAAAAAACATGCTTTCGTCAAATTAACCTTCAATTTATGTGATTATGTTATTCCACAATCCACACACATACACATACATATACAGAGTAAGAGTACGCCAATCATTTTTTAATAGTAGTGCTGCAAGTAAAATTAATAAAGGGAGAATGACAAATAAATCCAACCAAAATAGAGATGTGATAATGCCTTCTAAGTCCTAATGCCCTAATTGTTATTAAAGTTTTTGATAAAATGATAATAATACCCTTTAATTTGAAAAATTGCAACAAATTTTTTTTTATCTTAATGTTAGTTTTGAAATTCACAATTTCAACTCAGCAAATGATTAAAATGATTTGGTCATTCATAACTTTCTCTCACTATTTTTTTTCAACCAACAATAGTTTTTTATTCGCAACGTTAGTTTTGAAATTTATAACTCTAGTTTATTAAATGACTAAAGTGTTTTAAATATTTATAATTTTTTCTCACCATTTTTTTTCAACTAAAAAGTGTAACAAAGTTGTTTTTGTTCAAAACTTAAGTTATGAAATTCACAAATTTGGTTCAATAAAAGACTAAAATAATTTAAACATTTACAACTTTCTCTCACCATTTTTCTTCACTTTTTTAATTAAGGGGTATTTTTATCATTTTATTAAAAACTATAACCGACAGTTAAGTTTTTTAAGACTTAAAAATTATTATCACATTTTATGAAATTAAGTTGTCATTTTCCTATTTTAAAGAGTATCATTTTTCCAATTTTAAAAGTATATTCATCCATTTAACCTCCAATTAATTGAGACCAGGATTTTTTAACATAAGACTATAAATACTCGACAATCAACAAACCGACCCTTTGGGTTTGAATAAAGGTTGAGTTATTTACAATTTCTTTCGATGACGAGTTACCGGTATTTATTGTTTTATAGCATCACGAATAAAGACTAAAGGCAAGAATATATTTACGGGAAATAAAAAAGCAAATGACAGACTGGCGAGGGGGGAAAACGAATTTTAAATAGTACGTTTTCTTCAAAGAAATATAAATTGATATTCGTTGATTCTTATCTATTCTATGCCCTAATGAATTTATTTTAATTTATATCGTACGCATAGGGTAATGTTTATTATGTTTATGAAATGAAAGCCTCTTTCTTTCCTTTTTAGATTTGTTCTCGTTTTTTGAATTTTTTTTTTCCTGGTTGGTAGAAACCAGAAAGTTGGGCTTCCTTTTCATTTTTTGAAACATGTCAAAAACGTACTTTTGACTGATTATTATCTTTATCACCAAGCATATTTCTTTGTATGGCTATAATAAGGATATTTTTTAATTTAATCATTTAAATTTGATGCATATGAATAGTGAAAAGATTGAGTATTTTCTTCATTCATTGTATAAAATTAATGTATAGAATAAATTGCACTGTTTATGACTTGTAAATAAATAATAGAGAAATTTGTTTAATATATATATTGATATATTGATAAATGGATTATAAAAATTAAAATTTAAACTATCATTGGTTATGGATTTGGAGCTAATATCTCACCAAAATTTTAATTTAAATAAAGATTTAATCAAATTTGTTATTTTTCAAAATAAGAATGAAAAATTGGCAAAAAAATCAAAATTAGAGAAATAAAAAAAGAAACCACAGTGCACAAACGATCTTAAGCCCATGAACTGAATACACCTGCAGTATAAAATAACGAAAGGTAATGACATTGACATACTTCCTCCATTCAGTATCATAGCCACATTAAAGTTAATCAATTTTGTTATTTTTGAAGTGTTATTAAAACAATTTTTTTTAAAAAATATCCTTAACTAAAGATGTAATAAATAATATTTTTTAAATTAGATAACATATTAAAAAATAGTTAATATGTAAAGAATGTATAATTTAAAATGTTATTCAGTAACTTATTGAAATTGTAATTGAGTTATCTTATAATTCTGAATGGAATGAACATAATTTTTTTAAAAAAAATCCCCAAGACAGAGTGTTATATATTGAAATGATATACATAAAGCATATTTCAAACCAATAAGGGTCAAAAAAAGAGTAAAACTAATATGGAACCTCTATATTTTTTTTTTTTCACTCTCGTATTTTCCTACTCATTTTTTCTCCATGCATCTCACTCATTATACATGACCAATAGTAAGTGTGAATAAATGTAAATTTAAAATAAAAGAGCTCGAAAGGGCCTTTTGGGACAGGACTAGCGAAGCTAGCAATTAGCAAAAGGCTTTTGCTGATAGCTACCACTGGACGATGATGCTTCTATTCTGTTGTCAATCCCAAAAGCTATGGTATTGGAATTGATGAGTATCTCCATAAATGTTCAAGTACTGTCCTCTCAGCGTCATCTGCTCTTGCTCTTCATGCAACCCTTCAAACTACATCCAAATTTTTCGTAACTCAAAACTTGCTTCTTCAAGCTAATGGGCAATAATCACGTTGTGATCTGTAATGAGTCGTTGAAACAAGAACAGTGTGAGACTTACCCAGAACTCGTCGTCTTCTTCATTTCTGATTGAACATGAGCCTTTGGAATTCTCGCCGCTCTCGTCGTTGCGTGCGAATCTGCCGCGTATGCGTGGTCGATTGTCCGCCAGTGTCTTCCGGCATGCATACTGATGCCAAGTAAAACAGAGCAAGCTCCACATTCAGAACTTTTTTTGTTGTTTTAATCACACACACATGCACAAGTACATAAAAGTTTGTTCTGGCCTCTGGACTTCTAATTTGTTGCTGGAGAATTACTTCGATTTACCTTAATCGTCTTGTTGAAGTTCCTCTGGCCGCGCTTGGCTCTGTACTTAGAGATTCTCTCTTTTCTTTCTTCAGCACTGTAACGGCCCACTTTGAAGCTTGCTTCCTCTAAGAACGAACCTTCCCTGTGGATCGTTTGAGTCGATTCCATGTTCTGATGATAGAGAAACGAAACCATATATATATATATAGGAACTGAATAAAATTGAAAAGGGCCCAGGAACAAAATCAGAGGCCAATCAAACCTGCAAATCTCCTGTACTGCACACTCTCCTCACTTGATTGTCTTCTGGAGAATTCATGGTCTGCATTTGAAAGTTTGAGGAATCTAAGAGAGTATCATAGTGGGGTTGAAAGAGAAAACCAGGCTTCCCATCAAAGCAGTTACTGCTGTGGCTCCTTTGAATGGACTTGTGTACATTTTCAGAACCATTGTAACTGTGAGGAACAAAGTTCTGATTGCTATTGTAATCGATACCCATTTGAAATTCTTCGCTCTTTACTTTGAACCCATCCAAAACAGAGAAATTTACAAACTCAGTTTCTGAATTTGTGCCAGTTGACAGAGGCTGGTAAAGGCTCAGATTTTCCAGGTGGGTACTTGGAGGAGAAAAGGAAAAGAAAGAAGAGGAAAAAGGGTCAAGAGAAGAAGCAGTTTCGTCCAGTATGGGGTGTTGTGTTTGGCTGTTTGGAATCTGGGGAACGACGTCAGTGGGGGTGAAGAGAGGGAAAGGAAAAGGGTCGGAGAAGAAAAGGTCTCCGCATCCATTCGAGGAGGCCATGTCTGAGCTGGAATGTCTGAGAAAAGATGAATCAAAAGCGTAAGCATTTGTAGACGTTGAAGCAGAATTCATGACACAAATGGAACTTTGAATCCTGAATCCACTAGAGCGGCTGAAAGAAGCTGCTTGTTTGGTACGATGAAGGTAAGAATTTAACTTTGATTGGCAAGGAGTACTGTTTTGTCAGAAAGTTTGCTCTTGAATGATTTGGGCGAAGGCCTGCTATTCACGGAACAACATGACAAATTCAAACCCAATAATCTCTCTCTCCCCCGGTCTCCCCTCCGCCGATTGACGTTATCGAACAGCACGAGAAGAGACCGGTCCAGCCTCCAGTTTATATAGAAATTGTCTTTGCAAATCTGCCCCTCTACTTCTGATACTCTTCAAAATTTCACTCTGCCCCGGGGTCCTTTGCCAATAGGGTTGGGAATACACCGCCCTTGCCTGGATCTACGTTCTGACTTACTTTAAATTTGACTCAATTTATTTACTAGATTAAGGTTAGGTTCAAATTTTTTAATCTTAAATAAATTTGATTTAATTTTTTATGGCTTAGCCTACAAATTTAATAGGCCAACCTCTTTTATATATATTGTGTAATATAATATTTCATCATTTAATTTTTTTTTAAACAATTTATTCTTCTTTATTTTTAGTTAGGTTTTCATTTAGATTAAATTTGTGAATTGATTTTAATGTTATTACTTTATTAGTGTAATGTATTGTAGTTTATAAATCTTTTTAATTATTATATATTATAATTGATAAATCAAGTTATATATTTATGTTAATAGTCTTAAAGTATATTTAATATGTTTAAAATTAAAATGCAAGCTTATTTAAAAAACTTACTTTTAAATAGGTTTTTAAGCCAGATCAAGCCTTAGATAGGCTTAAGTTTAAGCCATGATAAAAGTTTTATAGGGGTTTCAAGTTAGGCATGCTTTTAACTTATCATAAGGGTGATCAAAAGCATGGTTTGATTAGATTTTGATCAAAATATAAACCAAAACAATTGGTTTGCACAAATAATGACACTTGATCAGTTTTTTATTAAACTCGATTTGGTTAGGTTTGGTTTATATGTGGATCAAACTTCAATTTTTTTAACTCTTTTTTTTCTTTTACATTCTAAAATCAAGTCATATTCTCAATTTTATTATTTATGAATGGAAATGAATCATATCAAAAATAAAAATATTTAAATTTTGTTACTAATAAACATTAGATAACATAGACCCGGGTTAAATCTCATTATAAATGATCTTAATGTCCATGATGAAAAGAAACTTCTTTTAAATTAATGAAAGGGAAACATGTTCCAGTAGCATGTAATAAAGTATTTGACTTTCCTTAATTAGCAATGACAATACACTTTTTCTTAATCTAGATTATCTTTTACTCTAAAACCAATTGGCAAAATTGATAAAAGGTTATGCATTCTATTAAAGTATTTTGGGTTTGAACTAGACATTGAGGTTAAAATTTAAAAATGATAAACACTAATTAATAGTCTAGTATTAATTATTAAAAAATACACTTAAAAATATAAAAAAGATATGGCTTAAGTTTGGTTAAGGTTTCAAAGAAAAAAACTGAAACGTGAACCAAACTATTTAATTTTTTAATTTACAAGGCCAAATCAAACTTTATTAACTTTCAAATTTTTTTGTTTTAATTGAATTAGTTTAATTTGATGGATTTTGTTCAATTTTACTCACCCTTTAAATTTATTTAGTTAAATTTAGTTTGATCTAATCTATTTTTACCTTGTTTGCAAATGATTTCCTGGAGGACGTGAGAAATTATGTCAATTTTTTGTTTTTTGTTTTATTTCTTTCGTTCCTTCCAAAAACAACTATGGAAATGGAAAGTTTTGTTTTTGGCAATCAAATTCAACTATGATCATTTAAAAATCAATCAAATCAATTATGAAAAGCCTTTTTTTTTTACCTGAATTATGAAAAGCTTGGAACAAGGGAAAACGATAATTTCGGACGAAATAATTATTAATTAAATGAATTTAAAAAAATAAAAAGGAAAGAAAATAGTGTTCGCTGCCTTTTCGGGTCTGCGTCGAAGTCAATGTGGCTGGACGAGCACGCCAATTGACTTGTGCTGTTCAAAGTCTCGGGGAAGCCAATTTCGAAATTCCCTGGCTCTGTCTTCGATATTAAGCAGGTTTCGTCGTGCGTATATTTAGCAAAATTGCACTTGCAGCCTTCTCTGAAATCATCGGATCTTCGGTTGCTTTTCTGGTGTAATAGTTTTGGCCGCATTCAAGATTGGCGGAAGCCATGGCGTCGCAGGAGCACCTCGAGAAGATGCAGCTTCGTCAGAATTATCGGAATCTCTGGCACACCGATCTCACGCACACTATTCAGGCTGATACTCCCTGTATGAATTTCCCCCTCTGCGAATGTGTGACGGAGAACGTCCCCTCCCCCTTATTATATTTGATTCTCTGAAACTGACCCTGTAAAATTAAATTTTGTGCAGATTGTTGCTTTGCGTTGTGGTGGTAAGTGATCTGGATCTATTCGTGACTTTGCCGCACGGTTGTTTATTTTCCAGGAGAATGGATGTTTGCGTTTGATTTCCTATTGTTTGTCATCTAGAAATTCAGATCTAGAATTATGATTTTTGACTTGTATCGACATGTTCTGACTTTATGAATTCTCTTTTCATAAGCCATCGATCTTTCCATATGTAATCTGGGTCTTTTTGCTACTGTATGCCTACTTCGATTTGGTCTCGTGGATACGGTACAGATACATATTATTGGATCTCTTATTTGTAATTGTCGAAGAGAATGGAAGTTTGCTTCTGATTTCCTGCTGCTTGTCTTTTTAATATTTTTTAAATCTTGGATTAAGAACGACCTGCGTTGACATATGTTGACTTTCAAAATATCTTTTCCAGTGGTCTCTCTCTCTATATATGTTTTTAATATCGAAAGGAAGGAAATTCACAGAGAAAATTAAATCACTTTGCGAAATCCTCACCTAAAAATTGCGTCTTTCATTTTTATAGTGCCAATACCTGTGTATTACGTCTTTATTTGGTCATGATTGTCCTGTAGTAATGCATATCTGGGGCGAACCAGAGGGTTCAGATTATCCGAAGAAGGTGTGAGCTGTTGTTGAAATGGCTGTTGAGGATCTCGGTCTTTAGCCACCAAGACCATGGGATGATAGTATATAGGTCACGAGTGATGAGGTATCCGGTGGTTGTGTCTTGACTCTTGATGTATTGCGTCGTTTCCTGAGGGACATGTGGCTTCCGCTGTGAGTAGCCCAAACACAAGAGGAGCGACCCCATGATGGTGCATCCTTCTCTTAGCAATTTCATACTCTTGATTCCTGAAACTGCATCTGACAACTGACATTTTCTGAGCCTGATCGGAGACTGAGAATTTCCTTGTTATAATTCATGAGATGTCACTCTACATGAAGGGATAAGGGTTATGTCAATGTGTATCATCATCATAAAAATATAAAATAGAGTTCTTTGTCTTGAAAGTAGATTGTAGAAAACTAATCTGTCTCTCTGTGGAAACTATATTGTTTCACTGTTTTGAGGTACAATAGGGTCCGTTGTTATTTCTTGTTCGTCCAGAGGAATGGAAACAAAAAGTAAATAATGTTTTACTTAATGAAGTGGTGCGTGTTTCCTTTGTAAACTTCTTGTTAGATTGAATCATAACACGTCTTGTTTTGATACCTTGAGCATAGGAGCTATCTCCTCCAAACCGTGGTTAAAGCTAAAAGAAAGGAACACATTGTTATTGAGGGTAAATTCACCTTTAGGCTTTATTGGAGAGTCCCAAGTGTTTCTTCAAGCATTTCTCATTCTAATGGCAACTTGATGGTGACATGAGTCTAGAGTTAGCCTGTTTGAAATTCTCACCCAGAAGTTTACACCCAAATATGATGATGAGCTTTCCTGAGTTTTCATATGATCTGATTGTTTCACCTGTTTCAGGATACTTCATCTTTTGTTTGGTGCTTGTCAATCCATTCATAAAGTTATAATTTTTTTTTTTAATACCTCCAATACCTTATAAGTCTGACCTTAATTTTAAAGCGCTGCTCTAAAAGCATATTTGTGTGTTTGTGCGTTTTGCTTCAAGAAATCTAATCATATTGTTTAATTATAGTGCGCCATGTGTTTCATACCTGCTCCGTAAAAGAGCTCTCTATGATGACATGTCAAGGTAATTGATAGTTTAATATTGCTTTTCAAGCTTGTAAAGTGACTTGCATAACCTGTTGTTGCGATATGTTAATGTCTTGTTTGTTCCAGATACACATGTTGCGCTGGTTACATGCCTTGCAGTGGTAGGTGTGGAGAAAGTAGATGTCCTGAATTTTGTCTTTGTACTGAGGTATGTTACTTTGTGTGCGTTTCTCAGCTTAATTTATCTGGTATCAGCACAAGTCATGGCGTTAAGTTGTTTTCACTGCTGATCTTTTCTAACAAGTCTGGTCTGGGGTGTATGATGTTGGTACTAGTTTTTCCGCCATGCGTTGTGTATGGTAATCAATAATACTTTCAGAGCTTACTTGTGTCCTACCTTTCTTTCTAGGTTGGTGAGTTATCACTTAAGTGAAGATATGGACATATATTGAAGCTAGAATTAAAATAAAGTCTGTGCCTGTGTGGTACTTAAGTTTATATATTAGGTGCTTTTTACTTAAAAGATATATGGCCAAAAATAGGCAAGTGTCATTTCAGCTGGTTGTCATGTAAATAAAGAGCATGTCATATTTGGACATTTTTAGGTTGTTTTGTTTTCTCTTGGAGACCTGCTGTCTACTCTGATCTCCTTTGGTTAATTTACATAGGTTCGTTCTCTTCTGCTAATTTTGCCATGATACTTCCATTATTACAGGTTTTCCTCTGCTTTGGAAATTCAGTGGCCTCGACTCGCTTTCTGTTGCAAGATGAATTTAACATTCAAACTACGCAATGTGACAATTGCATTATTGTAATATCTCTCACTCTCTCTCTCTCTCTCTCACACACACACAACACATTCGTGCACGTATGCTTGGGCGCAGGCATAAACACACGCATGAACACTTATGCCAATATTCTGTTATGGTGTACTTGGATTATGGGGATTTGAATTTGGATATGGATCAAATCTCTCATTTGGATACACAAGAATTTATGAATTTAGATTTGATTCAATTCCAAATTCATTTCAAATTATAATTCCTTTATAATTTCAGATTTCCTTTACACCCTAGTCATTAAAAGTTCCAATCATTTCAACATTTCATTATCTTCACATTTTTATCATTAATACCTCTAATTCATATTTTTTCTCATCTTCTATGGATTAAAAAATTAAAATGAACTCATCATTCTAATTTTTCATTCTCGTTTTGAATCTCAATTCATCTCTTCTTTTGATTTGAATTTTTTTAAACTACCCAAACCAAGGAATATAAATGTATGGATTTCAAACGTGAAATTTAAAACAGAAAATTTTAAATCTAAAATCCAAATCCATCAATTTAAACATTAGTTTAATGATATTATGTCAATTTCTAACATTCTTTACATAATTTGAGTAGGGATTCATGTTTGTCCTTCAACAAGTAGCATGCATATTTTCAATAATTGCAATGATTGTGGGAAGTGATGAAATTCAAGAAGCTTCTCAGCTGCTAAATTGTTTGGCCGACTTTGTCTACTGCACGTAAGGCTTCCTCTCCTTTTCTTTAATCTTGCACTTTATTCAGGAACACATATTTACTAATTTACGTTCAATCTCATATGCAGGGTCTGCGCATGCATGCAGGTGAGTTGTTGAATAATAGGCACAAACAATTTATATCTTAACATTATGTCATATGTTACATCACACGGAGCAACTGAATTGCATTTGCAGACTCAGCACAAGATTGAAATGGACAAGCGAGACGGCAAGTTTGGGCCTCAACCAGCAATGGCGGTTCCTCCTGTTCAACAGATGTCACGCTTTGATCAACCAGTTCCTCCTTCAGTTGGATATCCACAACAACCAGCATATGGGCAGCCCTATGGGTATCCACCACCTCCAACTCAGGGCTATCCTGCACAAAATTACCCTCCTGCTGGTTATCCTCCACCTGGATATCCCCCTTCTGGCTACACTAGGTGATCCACATTGTTATACGCTGCTTTTTGCTGCTCTCCTGTTCCGATTGAATTTTTCAGTGTCAAAACATTATTATTGTTGTTATATACTACTGCAGTCAGTGATGGACTAGTATTGTGGGCCCAAATACAGTGGCTACGCTGCATTTCTGTCACAAATTTATATTTTCTGTCACGACGAGACAATTTCTAGCGTTGTCCGTTCTGAGTCCTTGTGTTCTCTTTGAACAATGGAAGTCCCTGGGGGTATTTTTTCATATTTGGATTTATTTATGCGCAACTAATAGTCTAATCTCTGTGCTGCCCCTACAATGCTATGCGCGCGATATCATGATGTTGAATGATGCTCCGAGGAAGATTCTTAGTTTGCACTTTACAGTGTACATCTGACGTGAAGATGTAATATGACAATGACAATACTGAGGAAACATGCTTCCGGGATTATACCCCTATTGCTTCACTTTCCCTCCTTTTAGTGCTGCCCGTGGATGGAGAGGCTGGTTTTGTCGGTGTAAGTTAGACCCTTGTGTGTGTGGATTGTTGATTGTGATGGGATGTTTCTAGGGAAATACTTTAGTGCATGAATTTAAGTTTATTTTCTTGAGTAAATTTGTTTATTTTTTATATAATTTAAATTTAACGAAATAAATGGGCGAGGTTTAAATGTGATGCTCGCTGGATATGAATATGATACTGTAGATGTGATGATACAGGTCTTGAGTGGATTGGACGAGGTGGGGGCATGGGTTGGGGATGAAGTAAAGCATAAATGGGTGAAGAATGAGATCAAAGGCTTTGGAAGAAGAAAGAAAGAGAGGTTTGATCATGAGGTGTGAGGAAAATAAATAAATAAATAAATATGGGTCTCATCCGTCATCTCAGTGGTTGCGATGAAAGAAACTGAGTTGAAGAGTCGGGGTCAAGGAAAGCACCAGATGTTATAATGCATTTATTTCTTGCTCAGCCAATACTCCCACTTGGCCCAACCCACTGGAGATCTGTATCATTATAGATGCAATGATGGGGCAACCTGTTCCCCACAATTCTGGGCTCTCTATCTTTACAGTTGGTCATCTGTGTTGCCTTGCTCAACCGCCCCTATTTATTGTACATGGTTAGAATTGAAATTAACCCTTGAAAATTAGAGCAATACTCGCATGAATTTAGTGCATCACGTTATCAACGTTCTGTCCAATAAAAATATACTATGTCAAATTGTTGTAAGCATAAATTAACTCTACCATATATGATGACAGAGAGAAAAAAATTTAAAAAAAGCATTATATTCCAAAAATGAAATCATTAAAAATAATAACAGGCAAAATTTTATTTAATTGAACTAACCTAGCATGACATTTTTTTTTTGGTTGATTCTATCGCTTGGTGTCTTGAAAAACTTGAGGGTATTATCACTTTTCACCTACACTAATCCGAATTCTACTGTGTCAGATTGTTAGTAGATTGCTTCACGAGTATTTCATAAATGTTTTTAATATATTTATTTAACATGATTATATATCCTACAGCTCCAATACGAGATCCATGATAAGTTAGTCCAACTCTCTTGGTTAGTTGAATTGAACGTCCATTGGTGCAACCTGACATATTTTTATTAAACAGAATATGAATAATATAGTTTATCGGATTTATACAAAAGAAAATTTCTTTTAAAAATTGATATTTCATCCCAACTTTATATGAGGCAGTTACTTTATTAAATTGTTGTTGTTCCCTCCCCAAACCCCCCCCCCCAAAAAAAAAAATTGTTGTGATTGTCGCTGCTCCTATTGTTGCATTCTTTCACATTCTCCAGTAAACTTCTAACAAGGGTAACGTTGAAAAAAATATAAAATATATAATAAATACCTCATCGAGTATAGGACGAAGAACGAACCAATCGTTCGTTCTTGTAAAAAGAATGAGAGGCAGTGCTTTATTCCCTCCCTCTTTGTATATGAAGAGTTTTTTAGAAATTTATTTTACCTCCAATTATAAGGAGTGTCTAGATAATTTTAAATAATTGAATAATTTTGTCCTTATTGTATTAAAAAATAGAAGAGATATTAATTATGCTTTACCTACTGTCATGATATTAATTATAGCCTCATTAAGGGTAAAACTGAAAATTTTATGCTTTTAACTAAATAATAAATTTTTATCGACATGCAAGATTTAATTAAAAAAATACCTTACTGTCATGATATCATTGTACTCTCTCCTATTTTGATATTAAATAAAATTAATTAACTTCACAAAATGATAATTATATTTTTAAAATTATTTAAAAATTATGTATCTTCCTAATTTTACTATTCTTTGTAAGTAAGATCTAAAATAAATTGTTGTCTATGAATTCAAACAATAACAAATAAACAACGGTAAAATTTGATAAAAAAACATTTATTATTATAACCTTGTCTTACACAATTAAAGGCTAGAAAAAACTTTCAAACTTTATCTTATACTTCCTCCAATCTCTTTTACTCCTTCCATCTCAAATTATACTCTCTTCGAATCACAATATAAATTATAGTTAACTAATTTATGATTTACTAACCATGTTAATTACAATATTAAATTTTAAAAAATATTCACATCTTTTCATTTATATCATCATTAAATACTTTATATAAGAGTCTTGATAATAGTAATTAAAATTTTAATACATGATTTTTTAAAAAAAGAGTAATAAATAAAATAGGAGTATAGTTAAAAAAACAAATATAAAATTATCCAATGTCCTATATTTTGGATCAAGTAAGATTTTTAAAAAATACCTTATATTGTGGCCCAAGGAAGTAATACATTTTTAGACAGAATAGCAGATAATAATAAAGCTCGTTAAATACAATTTATAACTTTACTTTTTTAGGCAAAAATATAAATTTTTAAAAATACTTTTCATTTAATACCTCATTTTTGAAATAATGTTAAAAAGAGAAAATATATAGGAAGGATAATATTGAAAAATATTATCAATAAAATCTTAATTTTATTAAAATATATTATATTTTGGTATGCTGAATTTTATCCTAAAGTTTCTCATAATCTGTGACTAAAGGAGTATAAGAAACATTTAATTACTTTATTGAAATCAAGAAGTTGTGATTAAGTTATTAACTTTATTTTAAAATATAATAAACTTTCAATTTTAACTCTATTTAAAAGAAAACTTTTTAAAACTTGTATTAAATTTTTTCTCATAATTAATGAGTTTAAATAAAAATAAAAATACAAATATAATTAATACTATATTAAATAACTTATGTAAAATCTTTTAGAAGACATCTTAGGGGAAAAAAGACAGGAGGGAGTATAAATTTTCGAACACGTTAGCATTCATGATTTTTTAAGCTTTGACAAAGGAGTTGACCGAGTTCGGGTTAAATGTAGCTTGAGGCTAATTATATAGAGAGTTAATTTTAAGATTTTCTCAACAGAATTTTGAGGAACTCGTTAGTTTTGAATCAAATATTATTATATAAAAATATATACTCATTTTATTTAAAAATATAAGATATTTTTAACTAAATTTCACCCTTTAATAAAATAGTTACTTATTTTTAAATTAACCTTATCTTTTTATATTTATTCCTATTAAATACCCTATAATAAATATAAAGTTACTATCAATAGAGGCACTTTTAAAAAAAAGACAATGATTATATCTTAAAAGATTAAAAATATCTTATATTTTTAAATATTCAACTCTTTAAAAAATACCTTATATTTTTAAATGGAGTATGTGTTATTGTTAAAAGTTAAACTTAAACTTCTATTTTTATTAAAAAAATTTAAAAATTAACAGGTTAACCATGTATATATAATTTTACAGACCATATTAGTTATAAACATGATGAACCTTCATTGCAATAAATTCTGTTGAGAGAAGCTTAAAATCTTAAATGTCATTCCCCCATTTGCATATGATGAGAGGGCTTTGTATCCAAGACAATCAAGAAGTGAAAAGTGAAAACAATCGTATGACGCCCTCCATGACACGTCATCCCAATTCCCGTTGAAAAGAAATTGACCTACACGGATTCAGAGAAGGTTATGTCCAAAAAAAAAAAAGGACAAAAAGCACAAAATAATAATCAAATTCAGGTCCTTTATTCCCAAACAAAAAGCGAAAAAAAAAAAAAATCTCTCATTCTCTCTCTCTTTTTCTCATTGTTTCAACGAATTGGCCTACATTATTGCATTAGAAAAGCAGTCGCCAGGGAAGACCATGATGCTTGAGCATTTCCTTTGTTCTCTATGTCTAGCATTTCACACTGCATAGCACTTCAAAAAACTTACACACACAGTTGCGATCACTTTTTTTTAAAATAAAAATTAATCATATCATGCTAAATTTTAAAATTGTATGATTGCGTGCAGATCTCTATTCTATAATGGTGATATTAAAAAATGATATCATGAGAATCAACAAAGGCATGAAGACATGAATAAGTAATATATCATGACATTCCTAGAAGCAAGAAAAAGGCACGCATATCCAAATCTCTCGCATAGGAGGGAAGAAGTCTGCTTAAATTTTACTGTGGGTTCAGACTAAAGAGATGGCACGAAAGAAGGACTAAGTTATTGTTCCATTTTTTTATACAACTATATGATTACATGATATATGATATTATTGAATTGAATTCTAGGATTATTATCAGGACTTAACCAAGAAGAGTGATTTTGAAGTGGTTTTTTCACTTATAAGTTCCGAACTCCTGATTAACTTCGATACTACCTTCCACATAGTTTTCTTCTTACAATGTGTCTTATACTCGCATTCTTTTTTTTTTTTTTTCCTTGGTTCATCGGTTTCCCTCTGAGCGCAGCGAACTTGGTAGTTGGATCACAGCATAAAATCCTAGTACTGTCTTCGATCTTGTGCATCTGATTTTCTTTTCCACACATCTTGTCGGAGATTTTTTCTTTTTTTTTAATGTTCACCCACCAAATAAAATCTAATTTTTTTCCCTTTCCCCATAAACGCTAAAAATTAGCCGACATCACTGTCAAAAATATATTTTAAATTTTTAACAGGCTTCATTAAGGTATGCGATTGCACATTTACGCACACAAAAAAACCTTGAAAAACACTGATTTCTCATCCCATCATCGGATCCACCCCTTGGCGTGTCGTCTGAATCTGGAAACGTTGCAATAACTCGCAGCTCTTTCAAATCTAAATAAGCGAAGCGAAATATCAAAGGGTAGAAACTGATGAGATCCAAAATCTGAAACCAGAATCACCTTTATAAATTCATCTAACTACAGAGACTCCGCTTGGGATTTCTCTTTCCTTCTGTATATATACAGATATCTCAAGGGTACAATTTTCCTTTTTTTTTCTCAAGGTTTTCATGCTGTAAAGCCTAAGGACTAACAAAAAAACAAACAAACAAACAGAGAAGAGAAGAATGAGAAGAATCTGCAGAACTAAAAAGCAGAAAGATGGGGGTAATCTTCAGAATCAGCGTAGAATTCAGGAATGCCAGAAGCAGCCCAGAGCCTATCATTGAAGGCGGCTTGCATATCGTGAGGTATGAAAGGTGTTCTGCACAAGGGACACGTTCTCTGATCGTACCCCATCCAACGGTCCAGACATCCCCGGTGATATACGTGCCTGCAATTGGTGAGCCGCCTGATCTCGTCGTCCGCCTCAAACTCGTAAAGACACACGGCGCAGCTGTCCGGCGGGTCCACCAGGTCCGAGAACTTGCCCACCGGCAGGATTTCCAGGATCAGCATGGCCGACACGGAGTGGAATTCGGGTACCGGGTGGGGCCAAGCAATGTCGGGTTCGAGAAAATCGTGGAGACCCAGGCAGCGAAACAGAATGGTGATGAGCTTTCTGATGAAACCCAGGAGAGAGAGGACATGGAGGAATATCTTGGGGAAGATAAGGTCCGTGTAACCCACCGGGAATCCCATGATGGAGGAGGACACACACAGATATTTGTGGTTGAAGAAGATGAAGAAGAAGAGAGCGATGTGGAGGAGAGGGTGAGGTGAGAGAGTGAGAGAGAGAGAGAGAAGGGCGGGTTATATAGAACTTTGAAGAAAGGAGGCTGGTGTGGAAATGCCAAAAATGGGCTTGGCCTTTGTGGAGAATGACGGGGGGCACCGATGCGGGAAATGGGACAAAATCTTCTTTGAAATAATTAGATAAGGGCTTAGTGAATGTGTCACAGTGTGATCTTTTCCTTTTTCCTTCTCCCACCACTTTTTTCTCATGTCTTATTCATGAATTTGAAACATGTGAAGCTTACGAATTGGATCCAAATTTGGGAAATTTACCTACTTTGATTTGTCAAAAAAATAAAATAATAAACAAGTCTCAAAAGGCATGAAAAGTTGAGAAGAGGGCAGATACATATATATGATGAAATGATGATAGAATTAAATAATTTTTGTACTTAAAGATAATTTGAGATTTTAAGATGCATGTTTAATTAATGGGAATGTAAGGGGTGTAATAGTATCTGTCAAAATGTTATAAAAGGAAAGTAAGAGCTGAATGATTGGCCAAAAGAGGGAAGTAAATTATATAAAAAGGTGAGGTGATAGTGAAAACAGATAGTGAAGGGTGTGGAGTAGAGTCACATCTTTTGAGGAAACAAAACATAGTGAAAGAAGAAACAATGGGAGGCAGCTCTGTGTCTGGAAGCGTCCAGCAATTTTCCCAAGCGTCCGCATGCAAGGGATGCTATCTCCTTCTCCTTAGTCCCTACTCAATAACCAAGTCCTTAATTAATTGCTTTACTACGTACACATAGGATTAGTGAGGAATCAACTAACACAACACAACACATATGATATTTCTATATATATATATATATATATATACAGTTGCTATTTCTTGGATCTACTTTATTCTAATCAACGGCTTCGATGGTTTCTTTGGATCACTAATCATTGATATTCTTGGCATTAGCTGTAAATTCTCTAGGCCACGTCAATGGGGTCCCTTTTGGAGTTCGCTTCAGCCTCCAGTCTCAACGCATTATCTCTTTCCTAATTGGTTTTTTTTAAGCTGTGATTCCTAAGCTTTATTTCAGAGATGGTTTTTCCCCCTTAATGCTATATTTTAAAAAGGGACAGATTAAAGTATCCGTGTGCAGAAGGACTTTATATATTTGTTTTCCTTTTTTGTTTATTCTGAGCCATGAAGGAGGATTTAATTTGATTCAAAATGTCTATAAAAATATATGAAAATTTTCTCTTGCAAATGTAATTTCAAGAAAGCTCTATATATTACTTCCTCATCTATCAAATACAACTATATAAAATATTTTTTTTCCACATTTTCTCCAATACATTTTTCCTGTACCGAATTAAGGCGCAAATTGACGGTGTCAGTGCCTTATAACCTAGCACATTTTTGTAGGCTTTTATTGAAAAAAATTGCAATTGTACGCAGTTAATTATATTGAAACAATATATAAAGCAAAATGTGGATGTTGAAATTACAAATTTACAAAAAAGAAAGTATTATTTGTATTAGAAACCTTATAACCTATTAATGGAAGGAAGTAACAAGTAATTAAGTGAAAATTAATGTATTACATCTTAATTTAAAATTTTAAAAGTTAAGTTTATGAGTTCTTCTAATTTATTATATATTAATTATTAAACATAATTTTATTTAATGTGAGATGTTTTATATTAATTTAAATTCACTCGCATTTAAACATGGATAACATGGAAAGCATTAGGGATGTGCATGGACGACAGAAAGACGCATGGTGAGCTACAGGACATATATCACCCAATCGCTATCGGTATCCGGAATGGGTGCATAAGTAGTGAGATATTCCCTCCATTTTTATATATAAAATATTTTTAATTAAATTATATAAATTAATAAAAATTAATTATTTAATTAAAAATACAACAACATTATAATTTGGTCTTTAATTTTTTTAAATAAAAAATAATTTTTTTTTAAAAGTAGATTAATAAAAATATTTATCTTTTTCTCTTTTTAATTTAGTAAGAATATAATAGTCCATTCATTAAAAAAATATCAATAACTCTTTATATTTAAAGATAAAAAATAATTTTAAAAAATTTTTTATATATAAAAACAGAGAAAGTAAATGTTTATAAGTGACCGATGATGAAGTCGAGGGCTATGATGATTCCATTTATGAACGCACCAACCAACTCTACCCTCTCAAGCTTTCAATGATTTCCATTTCTCTCTGCGATCACTTTCAGCATCTTAAATGATTTGTTTGTTTCAGTGGAGAAAGCATTCATGTACAAGATAAGAGAAGATCCTATGACAATCGCTTCAGCAAACTCCCATTTAATGACACTCATCTTAGAGATCCATATAAATCGTGTGACTATTTACATACTTCGTTCAGTCTCATTTATAAAATATATTTTAAAAAATTTATTTTATTCTATTTATAATATTTTTAAAATTATCCTTCATAAAAAAATATAATATCACTTTTAAATTTGTTATATAAACGTATATTTAAAATTGCATACATTTTTATTCTTTTTAATTTTTTTTTGTATTGACATTAATAAAATTAATAAAAATGACTTATAAAAAGGATGGAAGTACTACCTAATCAAACTATATATGGCATCCAATAGTATCATCACTGCTAAGTCTCAGCCATTAATAGTGCCTTCAATCCCACGTTTCAAATTTGGGCATGAAGCTAAGCATTGATTTCCAGAGTACTGAATCTCCAAGTCACTCTTCATGTTAGTGTTCCAATCAATTCCGATTGATATAATTCGGCTTGACCTTATATATAACATTCCCATATTTTTCAAATTTTGGCCGTTGAGCAAGTCCTAAATCTCTTGCTTCCCTTCACTCGATCGATTTAAAGGTAACGTATAATCTTATAATTTATTTGAAGTCCTTAAAGTATTAGGCTGGGCAGGATGAAGGAGTACCAAACCCTAATTTTAAAATCCAATCTAAAATAGAACTTAAACATTGAGATATAGGATATTGCCTGACCTTCGTCCGACCCCGTAATTAAGCATCCCTAATTCTCTATTAATTGCCGGCCCATGAATATTCAAATTTTGATTGGGGCTTATACGTTAGTTATGGATTATGTTAAAATGTTAATTATAATCTGTAAGGAGAACCCTAGAGCATAAAATAAAGGGTCTTGTTGAAATGGTATTCTACTGGGATGACGCACATGTGTATATATGTATCACACACAGTAGTAATGCCATGTTGATGACATCCGTGACAATTTCATAAGAATATACTAAATCGCTGTTCTATCAATAAAGCGAGGTTAAATATAGTTGATAAATCACATGAGTAGAGAGATTCGTTGGAGGGGCATGACAGGATGGGCTGGGAAAAGATACATGGCATGAGATGAAGATGAAGAGGAGGTACGAGAGTGAGAGGTTAAGGTGGAACGTGTTTGACGTCAAGAAAAGGACCATGTATTGCTAACTGCCAGTATATACCTACTATGGGGTAATTAATTAGCTGGGATCTGACAAAGTGTCTGAAAGCGGCCAAGACAACATTGGTCCACTCTCCATTTTTTTTCCTGAGTCACTCAATTTATTCATTGTCTAGTGTACGCCCCACTTCTCTTTTATCCATGTACCCACCCATCTTCCCTTTTGTTTCTTTCTCTCTCCATTCTCTTCACGGCTTCACCTCACTCTCCCTCTCACACACACATCTTTGGTTATTGCGATACCCTCTTGGTTTTTGTTGAATTCTTATCTCCCTCAACTCTCGGTTTCGGTAATGTCGTGTTCATATGCACTGCAGATTCATGGCTTGTGTACTGCTACGTACGCGACCACATTAAATATTCCAGTATTATTATGCTGATTATATATATATATATATATATTATTGTTAAGGTGAATTATATTATTTGTTCAAGCTAAGTAATCTGTGCCTTTACAGCATGTTAATTAATGAATGAGTGAGGCAGGTGATTCTTTCCTTATTAATTCTGGTCAGGCTTTATCTGGCATATGGCTGTATTTAGATAGGATTAACAGGTCATTAGGCCAGCTAAATCCAACTACGATCATCACTTGTCTTGAGAATCTAAGTACAGACATTTAGTTTATAACTTGCCACTTGATTTTTCTAAAAAATATATGATTCTCAGCTGACATGTGAGTCAATTCGGTCATATCTTGGAGGCAGAACACGCCCCATTTTGCTGGCTATTACCTTCCAAAACCTTTCGTCAAAGCTTCAAAAGTTGTCTGCCATTAGGTCCAAAACTTGAAACTGCAAATCACATCCTATGTTAGTGGTAGGTTAAAGATGAAATTCCATACAACCAAGCCTGTCAGATACTGTCCGAGCATCACGACAAGGCCCTTCATTCGGTATATCACCGGATGGTTAATTTAGTGAGACAATTCGCATCCAGTTGCACATTTTTAGAGGTCACAAAACCAGAATGGCTTTCTGTCACTATTATGATATTATCTCTCTCTCTCTCTCTCTCTCTCTCTCTGTGCTGCTTAATTAGACATGTGAGAGCACGTTGATGTGAACAGAGAATGTTCAAAAATTAACAATAAACAAGGAAATAACACAAGATAGAGGCAAGGTGGAAGGCTGAGAAGACGACCATATGCGCATTTTCTTCTCTCCGTATGTCGCCCTTTGTTTTTTTCCTTGTTTTTTGGGGATATTGAAACGCTAATCATTGTTCCACCACCTCACATACCTATGAAGCGTTTCATTTCACTGTCTTTCATTCATATTACATACTAAGAATGAAGCAGCCACATACACACACCTCACCTAAAAATCTCAAATTTCGTTTCCGTCTTGTAACATAATAAATGCAGGCATGCACGGCTGACATGGCTCGAATGATAGAGAAAGAATGAGAGAGAGATGTGAGGTACTCGCTTGTAGCTGGCGAGTTAGCTAGCTCTGTATTCAATCAGATTCAGGGAAGCTCAACATGAGTACGTGTACTATAAATCTTGTTAGCTAGCTAGGTATACTGCAAGAGACCACCAGGTGGATAGTGGCGTG